TCATAAAGTTCAATGTTTATTAAATTGAACGTAAAATTAGTGCTAAAAATATAAAAATGCTTCAAAAAGGTGCGACTTGGATGATTCTTTAAGCACGACATAATGGGATCAATCCCGACTATCGACTTACACAAGTGTCCGGGCCACTTGCTCAACTATTCTCTTTTCTTGTCTTTGTTTTGTTGCTATTCCCTTCTTTCGTACTGTTAAGGTTGTCAATCATTCGTCGTATTATCCATATCCCATACGAAATGAATGTGTGATATATACATACATATGAATATGTGATATATACATACATATGCATATATGTTTATTAAAGTAAAATGAAACGTAAAGTAAAGCAATAGACAGACAGTGGCTAATGACAACACGTACGCCTTGCACATTGCGCAAATACCAACTCGTCGAGTTCTTCGCTAAGCTTTGCCCGCCCATTTTGACATTATGTCTTGCGCAAGATCCTTACTCTCTTACGGCTAACTTTCCTGACACGTCTCATTTTCTATTCATCTATTTTGTCATTACCTACATCGTTGTCTTTGTCTCGCTGGTGTTTTAGGCTATACACGAAAGAGACCGTATTTGGTTCCCGTCGTAAGAATGGAACCGCCGGTCGAACAAACAATAATCCATCCCGCAAGGAGTAATGTCTAATGATAACAGCGGGGAGGGTGGCATTGCAGATATTTACTGAGCAAGTTTTGCTCTATAGAACCGAACTTATTTGTATTGAAACTTCGCGACAGCATTACCTTTAGCGCATTGGTTCCATTTTTCATTCAAATTGCATTATTTATTGCTAATGGTTGGCCTACTCTGGATAATCATAATTTGGGCCTTGGATATAGTAAGGTATTCAGCGTTCATCATCAGGAGAGGTGAAGGTTTCCACAAATAGAGTTTTTATAGCTCGCAGCAACAAAACAAGAAAGTATGTCGAATACGCTTTGGTGTGATAACGTACATAGTCACCTTGCAGCGGCACTTAAACTCTCTCCTAAAAATATTCATACAACCAATAATTGTTTATTCACGTTCATTTCTCAATGAGAGTAAATAAAACGATATCAGCGCAAATTTTTTCAGCGTATTTCAATTTTAATAAAAATGAAAGATTTTGGTTAAACTAAACAAATTAAATAAACTTTTACAAGAATTTTTACGAAAATATCCCAACAGGAATGACAATTGAAGTCAATCTGTCTATCTCTGCATACAAAATTTAACCGAAGATAAAATTCGCTAAAGTGAAAATTTTCATTTATTTTCATAATATGAGAGCAGAGAAAACGTTCAGGGAATAAGCCACTACCGCCAACGCAAAATGTCCCGTTAAGAAAATTAAACGTTGCGCATATTTTTTCTCCGTTAACTATTCTATGCAATTTGAGCTTGAACTACTTAAGCTTTTTAAGACTTCATCATTTATTTAATGGATAAAAGGGAAAAATATAAATTTGGTAATTTTCCCGTCCCAAAGACGTAAGCTGTATGTGCTGTGTGTGATCTATTTACAAGTCACATCCCCGCGTTTCGCATGTCGTTTTCTAACGGCCCAATGCTCTCCCGCATGTAAAGATTGAAGACGAAATAAAATCTCTTTAGAGAAATCCGCAAAGAAAATTATCTCAAATATGTCAGAGGCAGACAATTTGTGTGAAAAACGTTGTGACTAAGACAATATTATTCTTCTTTACAAACAATTTTGTTTTCTGCTTTCAGCTCTTCTTCTCTTTGCGTGTGACAAGTCATAATTCTTTTAAACGTTACACTCCACTCTATCCATACATAAGTCGTATGCAAAAAATAAGACATTTATAAAAAAAAAAAAAAAAAAAATAAATTTCACTAAATGCAAAATGGAATCAAAATCTTACTTAAGACAAAGGAAATCATACACATGTACTATAAACAAATAAAAAAGAAAAACGCTTCGAGTTTCTATTTTAAAAAATCATTACTCGCTATACTAAAAGGAAAGGGGAGGAAAACCAGTCTTAAAAAATTTTGGGAAAACAATAAATGCAAACAAATTTATTCTGTAGATTTCTCTATGGGAAGCGAGTAACGTTTCTTTTAAAACCAATTTAAAAAAAGACCAAGTAAATATGTTATGGTCGAACAAAGCCGACTATTAAATGTTGCACATGCATCGCTGCGCACATTCATTTCGTTTATTTTCCTAATAAAACACCAATATTTATATATTGTTTCCACATTTTTCACAGGAGCAATTACCTGAAAGGAGGCCCGAAACAAAAACTGACGTGGTTCACATTTAACTATAATTTAATATTTTTTTCGTGAAAATGCTTACTTTTCATGAGAATGCTTATCCAGCCATGACACGATCGAAATTTGCTTTAGTTAATTTTTTATTTATATTCCAATCAGGATCATGAATCAATTCATGCTGGGATACATTAAAAATTGTACCGTTATGCCAAATAAAAGCTTATTTTTCTTACAATATAATTCATTATAAACAATATTTAATACTTGGAAATATTATAACTGAGCGATTTTTGTCGAGAAATTTTGGATTGTACTTCACCTTCAAAGACAAAAATTTATTCAACATACGATGTTATATATGTGGACTGATCGGAAAAGTGGTTCGAATCAGTTCATTCAGCTGAACATAAGAATACATGGACAAACATCAGACAGGCAGGCAGGCAAGCAGGCAGACAAATATACAACCAGATAGATATGCTTAAGAAAAAGTAGGCCCGCTATAATTTCTTCTAGGTGCTACAGTCATCTGCACAAACTTAATGCGTACCGGACAACGAGAGGTTTAGGTTTTATATATATATATAGCGAATTTTTCGGAAATTTCGCAAATTTTCAAAACCCAATTACTTTCAACTGAATTAACGGATAACAGGACTTTTTTCTCTCTGTCATCTGTAGTTTGATAGAGTTAATATTGCCAAAGCGACTCTGTACATGAATCTATTGGATAAAACTGTGAACTTTAATACTTGGTCAACACCATACACAAAACATGCCTACTTACTCCGTTTTATTTCTCTTAGGTTTCTTTATACACTTACTTGGGTCAATAGACAAACTCTGCTGATTTTCGTACCTACTAATAATATATTTCGGGACCAAGTTTTGTAGTTCGAAGTAACCGAGATTTTTATAATACAAACCGAAAGAAATGACTATATCGATGCTACGATTCACGCTAATCAATAATTTATACCCGAACACTTTACAATGACATATATAGCATGCAAATAGATAATGTAAAAAAGAAAAAATAAAATAGAAAAATTTTTAAGAGAATTTTTAAATACATATCCGGGTGAATCGATAATATTTCGCTTTATTTCTTTCGCTAAGGATTCATTCAAAATTTGTTTACATAACTTTTATTTGTTTGATTCCTTGCATTTATTTGTCAAGTAATTTAATTATCGATGCAATCACTATGCAAACAATTACTTTCAATATATTCAGTGAGCGCTTTAGTTACAATTAAATGTAACGAAATAAAAAATACGTAGAAAAGATCCCGCATATATGCGCGCATACATGGGCACACAAAGGCAAATAGGTAGAAATAATGATTTTATGAAATCACTATCATTGTCATTAGTGCGATTATCAAAAGTGACCTCAAGCTGAAGAAATTTCAATTTATTAAGTAATTTCCACAAATTGAATCTATTGTCGTTCAAAATGCAGAAATAATTACTTTAGAGTCAAAAGTTTAAACGAGATAAGGCTAACACAAATGGAAACGCAAAAGCTATTTAAATTTTATGACCAATTAACATTAATAACAATATAGCCAAACAAGTGAAAACATTAAAATCGGATTAGGCTGACTATTAAATGCTCTACATCGCATTGTCTAACACAATTCTTATTTTTGCCATAGAATACAAAAATTATGCCCTGTTTTTATATGAAGTTAATTATAATTTAGACCTCTAAATTAGACCTCTACAAATAAAGCCTTACTGTCCGTAAGAATGGTTATGCCCAAGAGGTTTAAAAATTCCGCATAATTAATTTTTATATCAAATTACGATTATGGGTCCAATTTTATTGTAAAGTATTAAAACTTTTACTTTGCCGACAAAGGAAACAAAAATTTTCGTGAAAACCCTTATATAGGATATGATCCAAAATATAGGCTGAGATAGACCATTTAATTTTTTTTCTCTTAAATAACTATAATAACCAAATTTGCATCATGAAGCATTGAAAATAAGGCTTTTTTGGCATACGTACTTCATTTCGGAATGACCCCAGTCGGCCCAAAGTTTTCACAACAATTTAAAATGCCCAAATACTATTACTTAGTTACAGTTGTCGAGAAATTTTAAAAATTGCAATTTGTTTCATGCAACGCATTTTGAAAATAGGGCGCTTTATGGTGAGTGGTCGAAAAAGTAGACCTATCCCAGCCATTTTCCTTGGGTCAAAACACGTCAGTGTACCAAGTTTCATCAAAATACCTCAGAAATTGGCACCTCTAACTTGAACACAACAATACATGTACAGACAGACAACTGGACCTACAGGATTAGATCAGTTTCAAAAATGATGATTCTGTATGATGATTCGGTATAATAAAAGGTTGGTCAATCTTAAGTGTTACATACGTTCACACAACCTTAATATACCCTGTACCACATATGGTGTAGGGTATAGAGAGAATGATAGAAAGAGAAATAGAAAAAGACGGGGTGACCTCAATCTAGTGGATCTCTATGCGCAATCGGCAAGTGTTATTCTTTTACCGGCTGAACACTCAGTGTAGCTGTGACCAATGTAAACTCTACCTTGCAACAAAACTTATAAAAGATGTGACTTATTTAAGATTTGTTTTAAACGATTTCACTAAGTTGGAAAAAAGAGAAGAAAAACTAATTTCTATTAACTCTACCTATTGCGGAGCTCTCTAATAATTTCAAATTTTGAACTGTTGCCGTTTCCTCGCTTAAATTGCTTTAATTAAGAAGAAATCCACTCACCGATTGTTGTTATTAGCGTAAGGGAATAGAGAAATGCTGAGGCATAAGTCCATTTATGTGCGGGCGGATTCATTTGTGTTCCTGGTTGGTAGACCTTTGATTGACGCACTGAGCGCAGCAGGGTATCCTGAAATTCAAAATTCAAAAGCGTATAAAATCAGTAGACAATGTATTTGAATTTTATTTATTTATTTTCATTCATTTATTTTATTTTTGATTAATAACTCACCTGAAATAATTGCACTTCCTGGGCTGCCAGTCGTGTCCAATTCTCTTTGTATAATATATTTAAATCTTCTGTAATCGACCACAAGCGGTCAACCGTTCTAAAAGTAGACGATCAAAGTAAAAAGTTGAAAAAGAGATGGAATAGAAATTTGCATTTGTGCCCTCTATTATTTTTTTTTTGTTTTTTTTTTTTTTTTGTACTGCAAGGTTACCCGCACACGAATGCAATCAAATAAAAATTTATATATAACAACAATCTATTGATATGCATAACAGCCGAACGGAAAAACAATACATTTTTTTTTTCGATGCGCTATCCGTTATTCCGTGCCGTCATCATGCATACCTTTTTTTCTATTTTTTTTTAAACTTGTTTTTGTGTGCACATTGTACGTTAGCTTATATGCGCTGCACTCAGCTTAAAGTGAATCTGTATTTTGCTCTTTTAAAAAATACTTTTTGTCAGGTATCGGTAAGTCTACAGTATAAATGCTGTTTTTTACGAAAATGCCGCACGCCGATACATACATACGAACGTACGCACATTTATAGATGCAGACAATGTAAATGCAAGTTTGTATAGCATTTGTGTACATAAATTTGCCGGGTTATTGCATAAAAGAGTGCGTTCCTATCATTATTATCATTATATACATATATATATATATATATATATATATCGACAAGAAAATTATATATATACATGTATGTATGTAGATATGCATATATGTATGTTTGTTTGCATTGATGATAGTTACAGATGTATTCCAAGTCTATTTGGTATTTGCCAAGTTTACTAATGCAAATTTATGGTAAATTTTCTTGTAATCAGGATATGCATGCAAAGAGCAAACTACAAATATTTGGATCCTAGAGAAACCGCAACAAAACTCTCACGAACGCGCAAACTTACTTGACGTTAGACGACAAACTGAATTTGAAACATGTAAGGAAATTATATGCGGCTGTAATCGAATATTTTATAGGCATCAACTTTTTTGACTGAAAAGAGAAAAAAACGGAAAAATGATATTTCGGTACCCTATAATATTGGCTCAGCGTACTTCAACTTTCTGCAAGAACTGCAGTTTCATTCGTAAAATATATCTGAAAAGGTCGATCATTCTATTTATTATTTTTATAGAGATGTTCTCAGCCTATAATGTTATCTAGATGTGCGCTTGGATCGATTTGAACCGTTTGCAATGCCTGTTGCTTGTTGCAACGAGTTCAAATGTTTTTGGTTAATTTGAAGTAAATGTCTTAATTTTTGCGACTGGGAAAACGCTGCCCACGCTTACCTTCACAAATGGACAGATATAATGGATAATATACGGATAATAAAGCGTTGTCTGGATATTTGATATTGAATTGTAAAGTATTTCACGTGCTTTAAACACCATGCGTATTAAGCTAATGTGAAAAATATCGATGATATGACCAAGCTTTTTGATCTACTCTATATATAAGTCCATCCCATATATTAACAATAAGCTTTTATTGACCAAAAAACATTTAGCTTTTAGTACTTTGTGACGAGAATATGCGGAGTACAATAAGATCTTCGACAAGAAAATTAAATTTGCTTTAAATTTAGACGACGTCAGTTCACGTTCTTCGTCAGTTCATGTTTATTTATAAGAACTTCCGTGAAAAGTATACCCTTAGAAGGAAACACAATGTATAATTTTGTGATATTCTATCTTGAGAATAAACGACGAAGCATTCTAGGCGAAGTGGTGTCGGATAACATATGTAAAACTCAGCCATGTCCGACTAATAATGTTTTTAATTGTTTTTTTTTTCATTTTTTGAAAAATCGAATAAACAATTTAAAGCGTTAAAAAGGACGGACGGACGAACGAACTTTCACACATAATTACCGAATTTGTTTCCAATTGAAATTTTTTATCTTAACATTCTTGATTTTAAGAATTTCAAACCTTCCATTCATCACGAATATGTGCAAGCAAACTGACAAAATGCCAAACGTGTCCCATCTAATTTGCTATATTCACTATACATATAGTCGTAATATTTGCTACAAATTAAGATTTTTGTCTACTTGCAGTGAATGACTACGTAACTTAAATCTTTCGGAATTCATTTAGAGATGTAAAAGGAAAAAATTGCCTGATATACAAATATTTGTATTCAAGCATATATGTGCTGCGTAGAGAATATCTTCCTTCTTTCTCTCTTCTTTTAAATATTGTACCTACAATTACTACTTCGATACCTACCTGCAAAGGAAGAGGTAAAGTACAAGATAGAAAAGTGCGTGCTTTTGGTTTTACAAAAAAATGCAATTATCCGTACCAATGTTATGTTGTGAAAGCTTGTAAAAAAGTGAATTGACACAAGCTGTACTATTACTACTACTACTACTACTACTACTACTACTACTACTACTACTACTA